GACTTTCTGTGCATATACCTCACTCTCCCCACCCCCTAACCTAGGTCCGGTGTTAGGACAGATTCAAGACGACTGATTTCATTCCATCTAGTAGAAGTCAGTGGAGCTGTGATAACAGATCTATCCGATCCGCCGGGCAGATTGCTGTGAGTTATCTGCTTGTGTCTGTGTCAGGACAAAGCACCCTTTTGGGAGGACATGAATAGCAGTGCATTGTTTACTTGCATTTTCTTGTTAGTATGAGGGAGTGAGTATTGGAAATGTGATTGGTTTGTTCGAGGGTTAAGTCGGATGTTCATAAAAATAGCGGCGTAAGCCCTACAAAGCGAAATTTTACGCGGCAATCCTCTAACTGACCGAATCCTTCCTTTTATTTCACTTAAAAGCATAGCGACCGGTGGCTGTTTTGTCTTATGCATGCGGCGTATCTCATGATCATACTGCACAGTAACTGTGTTCCTTGCTGTAAATAAAAAGGCTGTCAAAAGTCCATTTTTGTGTGTAGAAAAGCCAGTACTGCTGGAACAAATTTTCCTTTTAAAAGTGAGACACAGATAAAAAAAAGTTAGACCTTCGAACTGTCTCCCCTATAAATCTCACCTATTTTGGCTGTTATATTATCTCCTGCGTTTTTTCTGATCCAGTAACTAAAATCCAGCTGCCCCAGCGAGTTCTCATCAGAATCCCGGCCTGTCCCGCCATTCCCATGTCGGACTACAAGTTCATCTCGGAGACGCCTGATGATGTAGTTCGACGAGTCTCCATGTTCTGCCGCCCTCTAGGCAGCCCTGTTAGCCGTGACACCCCCTACGGCGATCATTTGGATGGCGCGGGTCTTCTCAGCAAAGGCCATTCTAGTCCGGATTCCGGCGCTGAGCTGTCGTCAGATACTGAAATAACGCCTGAAGACTCAGAACCGCTATTTAACACTTCTTGTCTGGATACCAATTTGGAACGGTCATGCGAAGGTACGTACTAGACCATTTTTTTCCGTTTTACCAATTCCTGAGAGCAACAGTTGCAGCGTTTCAGTAGAGTTCCGCAGACCACTGGTAATCAGACTGTGTACCGGTAACACGTCTCCTCTTATCGACCGTAATGTATGCTCAGTGTGTCGTGATTACCATCACGCTCATCTCCAGCCTTAAGTTACGTCTTGTCATCCAGCTGAAATTTCGCCAAGACCGTAAAATCCCTCTAACCAGTCTATTGCGTATTAGTTATTAACTAAGAGTAACAATTTTCGTCTTTACTACGCATATATAAGGGATTCGGTCCGTTTTGTTACCC